GTTTAGGGAACTGAGCAATTCCTAGTTTCCAAAGACAGATTTTGGGGGGAAAGTTATCTACTTTCAGTCTTATTTCCTCATTAAAGAAAAACGATGCATTTACAAGACAAACTTTCAAGACAAGGTGGAGAAAGGATTGTACAAAGAGTGATGATGAACCTGGGATTGTCATCTGGTCCTTGTCTCCGAATCTCTTCGGCAGCACAAAACCTCACATTTTTATCAGCTCACCTTACTCAGGGCTTGACCTGGCTAACCGTCTTGTTTCCTCAGGGTAATTACTGCCTTGCTTGTCCGGCAGGGTCCATGAGCCGCTTCTGGATGGGATTTCTCGATAGAGCCTTACTTTTTGAATGCCACTTTTGTTGGATACCCTTGAAAAAAATGTATGACAAATAGACTTATCCCCACTTAGCTAAATGGGTGGTATTACTGAAAATAGCCAGATGATGTCATACAGGTTATAAGTACGTGGGGATTCACTGGAAAATTCTGTCAACTTTTTGTATGTTTGGCATTTTTCCTGATAAACACTGGGGGGAAGTACAGCTCAGGAAAGTCCTGCAGGCCTCCTTCCAGCAGTGTTGTGCTTGCTCGGAGAGCTTGGTGTGTGCGCTGGTGAGGGCAGCCTCTGGAGCCCGCTTGCCAGCCTCCGCTGCCTGCCAGCTATGTGCCCTGCAGGCAGTTACTGCACCGCTCTGAGCCTGGGGGTGATAACAGTTCCTCCTCTGGGGTTTGCTGTGGGAGTGAAATGAGAGGTGGCGGGCTGCGGCACTCCCTACCCATAGTAAACCCTCCGGGACCTTGGCAGTTGCTGTCCCCCTCCGCCCACCCCCACTCCTGATGTCTAATCAGCTTCCTTCGTAACAGGTGACCGGGCCACTCGGAACAGTTGGCCGTGTGCTCTTCCGGACCGTTGATTTGAAAGAGTTGGGGGCTACCTTGAGACTGAATTGTGAATGACATTAGGACCATCTCCTAAAATCAGTTCCATTTTGTGTTGTCCCCTGCTCAGCCTTAGTAAATAAAACACAAGGGACAAACCGTAACTGCTTTGCTGGAGCCCAGTCGCCATCACAAAGGTCAGTTCGACCTGAGTGTTGGGGGCTGGGCTGGGCAGGCGGGTCTCCTGGTGACCATGCTTGCTTCCTGAGCCGCCAGGTCTGCGTTTCTCATCCCTGTGGTTCTCGTCCCTTTCTCGCCTTGACCCTGGTATCCACAGCCACCGCTTTCACCTTCCCTAGGGCAGTCGTGAAGAAGAGGAAGGTAGGTCAGGAAGTACCATAAATCAGTGAGGCCACCTGTACTGGATCCTGAGATGTGACAGTGATGGCCTTCTTCTACAGAACTGAGGGCTGTAACTTGCTATCCTCCACTTTCTTGGGTTTTTGAAGTCCTTTCAGTGGTTTTTATCGTATTCACAGTCTTATGCATCACCCCAAATAGAAACCTCATCTCCGTTAGCCGTCAGTCAGTCCCCATTTTCCCTTCTCCCCTCTGCCCTTGGCAAACACTGCTACCTTCTGTCACTATGGAGGTACCTATTCTGAGTGTTTTACACAGATGCAGTCATGTGATACATGGCATCGTGTGTCTGCCTTCCTGATGTTTCTATCCATGCTGTAGCCCACGTCAGTACTTCATGCTTTCTTATGACTGAACAATAGCGCGTCACATGGACAAAGGCCGTTGTCTTTATTCATTCACCTGTTGATGGCCATTGAGGTTGCTTCTGTTTCAGGGCTATTATTATGAATATTTGTGTGGACATGTTTTCATTTCTATCTGGTATTCACCAAAGAGTGGAATTATTGGGCCCTATGGTGATTCTATATTTAACTTTCTGAGAAACTGCCCAGCTGTTTTCTCAAGTGCAGCAAAGGCTGTACCATTTTACCTTCCAGCCAGTGATGCTGGAGGGTTCTAGTCTCCCCACATCCTCACCTGTAGTGTTATCATCTGTCATTGTGATTATAGCCATCCTGGTGGGAGTAAATTGGCATCTCATTGTGGTTTTGATTTGTATTTCCCTAATGATTAATGATGTTGAGCACTTTTTAAAAAAATTTACTTATTTTTGGCTGTGCTGGGTTTTCGTTGCTGCAGGGGCTTTCTCTTGTTGCAGCGAGCGGGGGACTGCTCTCCCGTGCAGTGCATGGGCTTCTCATTGAGGTGGCTTCTCTTGTTGTGGAGCGTGGGCTCTAGGGTGTGGGCTCCAGTAGTTGCCACACGTGGGCTCAGCAGTTTCAGCTTCCAGGCTGTGGAGCATGGGGTCAGTAGTTGTGCTACACAAGCTTAGTTGCCCCTCGGCGTGTGGGATCTTCCCAGAGCAGGGATCAAAACTGTGTCTCCTGCATCGGCAGGCAGATTCTTTACCACTGAGCCACCAGAGAAGCCCAAGCACTTTTTAAATATGCTTATTGGTCATTTGTAGGCCTGATTTGGAGAAATGTCTATTCAGATTCTTTACCTATTTCTTAATTGGATTTTTGTCTTTTTATTATTCAGTTATAAGCCCTTTTATCTGATATGATTTGCAAATATTTTCTCTCATTCCGTGGCTTGTCTTTTTCACTTTGTTGATGACAACCTTTAAGAAGAAGGTTGTTTTTTTAATTTTGATGAAGTCAGTTTTTTCTTATGTCACTTGCACATTCATATATTCTTTTTGATGTCTTCAGTGACTTATCTGAAAATCTGATTTGCCTGCTGAAAACATAACTGTATTATACTTAGTTTTCCTAATTTGGAATTTAATCAGGTGGTAAAGCACCTGATTTAAAATGTTTGCTGGTACTATATAGAGGAGCTTAGAAATGCTGATACTGGTAAATTACCCATTGATCTGGTAAATTACCCATTTCTGTGTGCTCAGCCTCAGGAAATAATTTGATAGAAGAAATACATCCTACATGTCCAGAGGTCATTTCGTTGTCAAACCATGAGAGGGGGACACCGAGGCCTATGCGTAGCAGAGAAGGCTGAACTCTGTAGGGGTGCATTGTTACGTGCTATTGAGTATTATAATTATGAAGCTTATTTAATGACACTGTTTATGATGAAATGTTTAATTAAAAAAACCACATGTGTGTGCCCATTAATGATTAAAAATGTGTACAAAATATTTGCAGTAGATGGAAAACTATAGGCGGTTTTCTTAAATTTTACTTAATATTGGTATTTTATTTTTACTATTAAAAACTAAGTTTAAAAAATGCATAACATTTCAATGGAGGAAATAGTGACAAGTGGGTGAACTGGGTGTATGTTTATCCTTATCTCACACCAACTGTTTTTTTACTAGCAAATATTTTTTTATCATCATGATCACCAGGTCTTAAAAGAAAAAAAATAGTTTGCTATGTTTATTTATTTTTTTTTCTTTTAAAAATATTTTTTATTGAAATATAGTTGATTTACAACATCGTATTAATTTTTGCTTTAGTCAAACCTCTTTCTGCAGAATTTTAATGCTTAAGACATGATGTACAGGAGACAAAGGGATGAACTGAAAGAATAGCATGGAAACATATACATTACCATATGTAAAACAGATAGCCAGTAGGAATTTGCTGTATGATGCAGGGAGCTCAAACCTGGTGCTCGTGATAACCTTTTTTATTAGTTGGAGGCTAATTACTTTACATCATTACAGTAGTTTTTGCTATACATTGATATGAATTAGCCATGGATTTACATGTACTCCCCATCCCAGTGCCCCCTCCCACCTCCCTCTCCACCCGATCCCTCCGGGTCTTCCCAGTGCACCAGGCCCGAGCACTTGTCTCATGTACCCAACCTGAGCTGGTTATCCGTTTCACCCTAGATAATATACATGTTTCAATGCTGTTCTCTTGAAATATCTCACCCTCGCCTTCTCCCAGAGTTGCTATGTCTATTTATTAAGAATTTACATGGAGATATTTTACCTTGTTTTTACATTTTTATATCAAATCTAAACACTGATGATAATAGGATTCTGGTATTAGAATAACCATTATTTTAGTCATTATCAGCATTGTAATTTGCTAAAAGAAAGGTAATGATGATTGTGGTGGTATGTTAATATCAATAATAGACATCACAGAAAATTTTCTCCTGGCATCTCATGAAAGAATTAGTAGTATTTCACATATAAATAAATCATCTCAGCTTTTGAAATAAATTTCAAATGGATCAAAGCTTTCAGGGTTGGGTTTTTTTTTTTTTAAGAAACAATAAAGGCACCAGAAGAAATAAAAAGCAAGCCCAATACAAGGTCACGGGTCGCACGCACACCCAAGGTGAAGCCACTCATGGGGCCGCCGCCCCAGGGAGAGAGGTACAGTCACGGGGCCACAAACCACGTCTTTGGATCCTCTGACCCTCCGAGCTTGGGCTTTACCTGAGCACCAGGAGTCCGGGGTACAACCAGTGACTCTGAGGTGGTCCCTCTCCCACAGCCTGGAGCCAGGGTGACAGGGCAGGGCAGGCCGGTCCCCAGAGCTCGGCCCCGGGCAGCAGCGCCCTCTCCCCGGGACACATGCTGCCACGACGTGGCCTCTGGGCTTGGCGCTGGAGAGGCAGAGGCGGCGTCCTGTGCTCGTGTGTGGGAAGGCTATGAAAAGAAAACCCTTGTTGGCCCAAACATTTAAACAAGAATTACACTAGGATCTTTTGTTCTCGCTCTGACGTGGCCAGAATTCACTTGGAGGTCCAGAAGAGGATTATTTTTGTTGTTGTCGTTTTCGAGTCCGAGTTATTTTATGCATGCAAACAGAGGGAAACACAGAACAGAAGCGCATGGCTGAAGCCTGCCCCTGGTGTCGGGGTGAACCACATCACTCTTCTGGGCGCTGTTTTGTGCTTGAGGGGCTCCCAACTGGAACGTTCCATCCAAGGTGCTGTTGCCTTCCTTGGGAGAAGGCCCGGGTGACTGGAGGCAAGCAGCAGAGTGTGTCTGGGAATCGGGGATACACACACAGCTCGGGAGAGCCTCACCTCTCTTTTTTCCTCCCCAGGTTTAACAGGGAAAACCTGCTTTCTGCCAACCACTGAAGAAGCCCTCGGAAGCTGTTCCTTTGGGCCTCATGGAGCAGCTGGAAGCCATGCTGTGAGACCCCTGGCAGGAGGAGCTGTCACCCACCGATCACTCAGCACGACGGTCGTCATGGCCAGCAAGAGGAAGTCCACCACCCCGTGCATGATCCCCGTGAAGACTGTGGTGCTGCCCGGCTCCAGCGCAGAGGCCCCGCCTGCCGAGCCTGGGCCCGAGGGGCCCCCCCAGGAGCCACCCCCAGAAGTGCCCACCACCAGCACCGAGGCCACCCAGAGCGCCAGTGGTCCTGACATCCCCTTGCTGGCCAACGGGCACCGGAGCACCTTGGATGGCTACGCGTTTGCCTGTAAATACTGTGACTTCAGATCCCAGGACATAACCCAGTTTGTGGGACATCTGAGCTCAGAGCACACAGACTTTAACAAAGACCCAAGTTTTGTATGCACTGAATGCAGCTTTCTGGCAAAAACTCCCGAGGGGCTTTCTCTGCACAACGCCAAGTGTCACTCGGGAGAAGCCAGCTTTGTGTGGAACGTGGCCAAGCCAGACAATCACGTGGTCGTGGAGCAGAGTGTCCCTGAGGGTGCCAGCCCTCCCGACCCGTCGGGGGAGCCAAACGTGGAGGGGACGGATGGACAGGCAGAAATCATCATCACCAAGACTCCAATCATGAAGATAATGAAAGGCAAAGCCGAGGCCAAAAAGATCCACACGCTCAAGGAGAATGTGCCCAACCAGCCCACCGGGGAGGCCTTACCAAACCCTCCAGCTGGGGACACAGAGGTGAAAGAGGGGGACCATGCCTTTGTCAACGGGGTGGCCCCCGCCAGCCAGGCCTCAACCAACCCCGCAAAGCCCCCCCACTCGGCCAACGGGCCCCTGCTGGGCACGGTGCCGGTGCTGCCTGCGGGCATCGCCCAGCTCCTCTCCCTGCAGCAGCCGCCCCCGCAGGCCCAGCAGCCCCTGCCCACCGCCAGGTCCCTCCCCAAAGTGATGATCCCGCTGAGCAGCATTCCCACCTACAATGCGGCCATGGACTCCAACAGCTTTCTGAAGAACTCCTTCCACAAGTTCCCCTACCCGACCAAAGCCGAGCTCTGCTATTTGACTGTGGTCACCAAGTACCCGGAGGAACAGCTCAAGATCTGGTTCACTGCCCAGAGGCTGAAGCAGGGCATCAGCTGGTCCCCAGAGGAGATTGAGGACGCCCGGAAAAAGATGTTCAACACCGTCATCCAGTCAGTGCCCCAGCCCACCATCACAGTCCTCAACACGCCCCTGGTTGCCAGCAGCGGCAACGTCCAGCACCTCATCCAGGCCGCTCTGCCCGGGCACGTGGTGGGGCAGCCAGAGGGTGCAGCGGGGGGACTTCTGGTCACTCAGCCTCTGATGGCCAACGGGCTGCAGGCCCCCAGCTCCTCTCTACCCCTGGCAGTTACCTCTGTCCCCAAGCCGCCCACTGTTGCGCCCATTAACACCGTGTGTTCAAATACAACATCGGCTGTGAAGGTGGTGAACGCCGCCCAGTCCCTCCTCACGGCCTGCCCCAGCATCACCTCCCAAGCCTTCCTTGATGCCAGCATCTACAAAAACAAGAAGTCTCACGAACAGCTGTCAGCTCTGAAAGGGAGCTTCTGTCGGAACCAGTTCCCAGGGCAGAGCGAAGTGGAGCATCTGACCAAAGTGACGGGTCTCAGCACCCGGGAGGTGCGCAAGTGGTTCAGCGACCGCAGGTACCATTGCCGGAACCTCAAGGGCTCCAGGGCCGGGCTGCCTGGAGAGCACGGCACCCTGCTTGTCGACCCTGTGCCCGAGGCACCCTTCTCCCCGTCGTGCAAGGCCCCCGAGGTGACCTGCCTCCCCACGGCAGCCACCCTGGCCACCCCCTCTTCTGCCAAGCGACAGTCCTGGCACCAGACCCCCGACTTCACACCAACCAAATACAAGGAGCGGGCCCCCGAGCAGCTGAGAGCCCTGGAGAGCAGTTTTGCACAAAACCCCCTTCCCCTGGACGAGGAGCTGGACCGCCTGAGGACCGAGACCAAAATGACCCGCAGGGAGATTGACGGCTGGTTTTCAGAGAGACGGAAAAAAGTGAGTGCCGAGGAGGCCAAGAAGGCCGAGGAGGGGGCTTCTCCAGGGGAGGAGGAGGCCGCTGAGGATGAAGGGGAGGAGGGCTTGGCAGGGGAAAACGGCTCCCCAGAAGCGCCCGGCAGCCACGTGCTGGCCGAACGCAAAGTCAGCCCCATCAAAATCAACCTCAAGAACCTGCGGGTGACGGAGGCCAACGGCAGGGGCGAGCTCGTGGGGCTGGGCGCCTGCGAGCCTGAGGACGAGGCGCCCGGCAAGCCGGCGGAGCAGCCGCCAGGCAAGGCAGGCTACAAGAAGACAGCCCAGCAGCGGCACCTGCTGCGGCGGCTGTTCGTGCAGACGCAGTGGCCCAGCACGCAGGACTACGACTCCATCATGGCGCAGACGGGCCTGCCGCGGCCCGAGGTGGTGCGCTGGTTTGGGGACAGCCGGTACGCCCTGAAGAACGGCCAGCTCAAGTGGTACGAAGACTACAAGAGGGGCAACTTCCCTCCCGGGCTGCTAGTCATCGCGCCCGGCACCCGGGAGCTGCTGCAGGGCTACTACGCGGCTCACAAGATGCTCTACGAGCAGGACCTGCAGAGCCTCTGCGACAAGACCCAGATGAGCGCCCAGCAGGTCAAGCAGTGGTTTGCCGAGAAGATGGGCGAGGAGACCCGGGCTGTGGCCGACGCGGGCAGCGAGGGCCAGGGCCCCTGCGCCGGCGGCCCTGCAGCCCTTCACAAAGGGCTGGGTGACGTCTTTGTGGAGGCGTCGGAAAACAGCGAGTCACGGGAGCCCAGCGCCCCGGAGGCCAGCGCAGAGCCCTTTGACACGCAGACTCCCCAGGCCGGACCTCAGCTGGGTAAGGAGCCCCCCAGGACTGGGCCGTCCTCTGAGGGTGCCGGGGCACTGGGCAGGGGCGACTGAGTCTAGGGCTGGGGCAGCTGCTATTTCTCATGCCAGCTGGCAGTAGGACCACCTTGTCCGGCTGCTTCTGGGAGCACCAGGCAGCAGAAGCCATTCGAACCTCTGTGATGAAGGGTTGACCGTTGGGTCTGTTTCATTTTGTGTTTGTTAAACGTGCGCAGGGAAAGGAAGGAGCACAGTGAATCCAGCAGCAAATCCACACTTCTCTGATCATTTCTTAGCCAGAGGAGAATAAGTCAGAACATCACCTGAGCCAGTCAAGCCACCAGGCCGGAGACAGAATTGGTCTGCCGATTCCTGATGAGGAAACTCAACCCAAACTGGGGCACAAAAGCAGAGGGAGCCTTTCACTGACCTTAGATACATGGCGTGCTTTTTTTTTTTTAAAAAAAAGGGTGAAAAATCCTGTACCTTGCATTTCTGTACTTCTTTCTGAAGTAGAAGACATGGAGACTGCGCTTCCGTCTTAGATATACAGAATCCAAAGCTTGAATTTCTCAGTTTCTCTGGATTAGGACACTAGTACTTGACAGAAAGCTTTAGAAGGTTATTTACTGAAGACAGGCGCCTCAGACACGTCACGTTATCTGGTGTTGGTTTTCTCAGGTGTTGAGCCCTGAGTTCCTGGCCTCTCCCTTCCCTCCCCACCCCCCTCATGGGTGGCCTTGTCACAGGCTGGCCAGGAGCAAGGTGTTGTTCAGTCGCTCAGTTGTGTCCAACTCTTTGGGACCCCATGGACTGTAGCACCCCAGGCTCCCCTGTCGTTCACCATCTCCCGGAGTTTGCTCAAACTTGTGTCCATTGAGTCAGTGATGCCATCCAACCATCTCATCCTCTGTCGTCCCCTTCTCCTACTGCCTTCAGTCTTTCCCAGCATCAGGGTCTTTTCCAATGAGTTAGCTCTTTGCATGAGGTGGCCAAAGTATTGGAGCTTCAGCCCTTCCAGTGAATATTCAGGGTTGACTTCCTTTGGGATTGACTAGTTTGATCTCCTTGCTGTCCAAGGGACTCTCAAGAGTCTTCCCCAGCACAATTGGAAAGCATCAGTTCTTCAGTGCTCAGCCTTCTTTATGGTCCAACTCTCACATCCCTTTATGGGAGGCTGTAGAAACCAAGGAAGTATCTGAAATCTCAGCTTCTGTAATTTTCAGACTTTCAGAAGTTGGTTCCAGGCCTGGGATTTTCTGGACCTGACCTTGTTTCCTCCAGGCCCCTATGAGTCAGTGGGGTCCCCCGGGGGGGTGTCATGGGCACCAGGGAACAGGTGTGGGCCCACACGCCTGGGTGCCTCAGGCACCTTCTCCAGCACCAGGCCTTCCCACCCTTGGCTTTGGCTCTGCCAACAAAATGGCAGACTGCTGGAACAAGAACCCACTAATTTATTTAGTTTTTTTTTTTTTTTAATTGCAATTCCCCTGAATTATATTTTTATGGCTGGAAATAGTGTGGTAGTTGTTGCACAATTGTTAAATGCGCTCCATGCCACCTCACTGTACACTTAAAAATGGGATGTGTATTTAACCACAATTAAAAATGCTCACCTGGATTTGGTGGTGGGACAGAGCAGGGGTGGCCAGGCTGGCCGTGCCTTTGTAGCATCATCCTCTTCTGGCTGAGACAGGTACCCAGGGGAACAGGGAGGGCTGGTCCCTATCTGGTTTCTCACCGCTTTCTGAGCCAGCCTCAACACCGCCCCCGACAGACCAAGCATCCTGGGTGAGGGTCTCTCTGCACAGCAGCCCCTTGCCCCACAACAGATGAAGGCATCTGTGGGACACGTTAGGCAGCAGACCTGCCGAGTGAGCCCCGTGTGTTCTGAGGCACCGGATGGGGAGGCGGCGCATGTCATGGGTTTACGGCCCAGAGGTCAGGCTCCCAGCCTGGCCTCGGGCCTAGGTTTGCCGAGGGGAGGCTCTAGGCCCTGCTAGGTGCGGCCAGCATCCCGTCCTCTGCCCCCACAGTGTTCCCCACCTTCCCTTAGGCTGGAGGCCAGGGAGGCTGGTGGGAAGGCGAGCTCCTGGATGAAGTCCCCGACATGGGAGGGCGGGCCGTCCTGATGATGTGCGTGGAGGTGACGGGCCTGTGTTTTCTCCTCAGAAACAGACTGAACAGGAACTGATGGCTGTGAAGGACCGGCCAGCCTTGGGAGGCCACCACCGCTTGGAAGGGCCCAGTCCCTCTCTGCTGCCACAGGCCGAGGCTGCACCGGCCCCCAGCCTGCACAGGCCTCCATGTGGCCAAGCCCGCCACCACCTGTGAGCGGGGAGACGCGTCTGCCAGTTCTGCCCACAATGTAGGACCTCTCCTTTGCCTTCCAGTGAATAAATAGTTCAGGTTTCATATTCATAGACACAGAATCAAGTTTTTAACATATAAATCTGCCTATACACGTTTAATAAAACGTCAGATTGCAGACACTTTTATTACATAGAAACTCTGGTTAGCAGTCCATGGTCTTTTACATCATCTCTGGAAATGCCCTGTGTCTGTTCTCTGAAGACTGCTGGGCCACGCATGCCTACACCTCCCACGGTCGGGCTGGGGTCACCACACCTGCAACTGCAGGCCTCCTTTGCAGTCCTCGAGGAAGGCAGCGCCTTTGAAGAGATCTTGGCCCCTTCAGCAGTGACTGGCAAACCACACAGTGGGCCCGCCTCACCTCCTGGGACGATCACTGCGGAACCCGTGTTCCTGGCGGTTTAAAAAACAGAGTGGGTATGTGGTTAGTGGCTGATGCTCACTCTCTCATAAGCTGTTACAGCAGTTCTCCTTTTTCATAGAGTTTGAATCATGGACCATAACTCTTCAGTGATCAGATCGACTAAAGAAACACCTGTCAAGCCTAATGTCCTGACCTACGTGCCGCTTTTCTTTTTTTCAGTCTAGACATGTTTAGAGAGGAAAATTGACAAGAGAAACAGGGATGGGAGATGGGAATGAAGGCCACAATTGCTGGGGGCTTCCACAGCCCTCTGTCAACACTCACTTCACAGCTGCCTCCGGTTTGGGAAGGAAGACCCAGGCTCAACCTGTCAGCAAGAACTGACGGGGCTCAGGGGCCTCTCGGAACCATCAGAGCCAGGGTGGTCCTCAGCAAAGACCTGCGTGTGGAGTTCCCAACAAAGTCCAAGCCCTCCTGGCCCCGCGCCTGGGGCCTGGCTGACGTGGTGGACATTGCTGGACAGGTCCTTGTGAGAAGGTTTTTAAAGTTCTGTATTTATATCCCCAAACTTGGAAACACGATCTCTATGTTAGCTGAAGCATCATATCTGCTTTTTTAATTGAGAAAAATCACAGGAAGGGGTGCCTTGGTAACACCGGGAAACTTGCTTACAAAGCTGTGCTCAGCATTGAAGCCCTGTCTCCCCAAGACCGGCCCTGCGAGCAGCAGGTAATGAGTGAAGCTCCCAGGAACCCCCTGCTGCCCAGAGCAGCCAGGCCTGGGCGCTCCTCCTGGGCTTAGGCGGTGCCCAGAGGGAGGGCAGGGGCTGTGGTGAGAAGCCTTAGGGGTGGGGTAGCCATGGCCCTCCTCCCCACCTGCCCGGCAGAACCAGACCAGGCGGGCCCCACGCAGGCCTGGCTCCCAGCGTGGAGATGGTGGCTGCCCCTCCTGCCTCCGGAGAGGCTTTTCTGAGGAAACCAAAAGCCCCGGGGCCACCGTCCCTCCCAAGTGTCTTTTCCCGCTCGCCCCGTCCCGCGAGGGACCACCCCCTTATCTCGAACAGGTGCCATGCGAGCGCTTGGCACGCTCTGCAGCCTGCTTGTCTCCTTTCCATGTTGGGTGTGAAGCTCCTTACCGCACAGCCTCTCTGGAGAGCTGCCAAAAATGGCGAGTGGTTGCGTCCTTTCAGAGAACAGACGCCTGCAACTTTTCCTGTAGTGTTTATGTACATGCAGATTAATTTTTATATATCCATATGCAGTAGATACTCAGCTGATGCTTTACTGGTGACGTGGCACATGGGTGCTGGGGGCGGGGCCCGGCCGCTGGGCGAAGCTGTCTCCGATGGCGTCACTCCCAGGGCCCTGTGTGCCCCAGCTGAGGGCTGTCTCTTCAGAGAGGGTTTTCTTTTTTTTTTTTTTTGTATTCACATGTCATTTACAACCCAAAGCAGAGGAAATAAATTACATGGTGGACAAATTCATGCAGGACACAGTGACCTCGCCTCATCACCAGCTGGTCCTTAAGAGGTGGGCAAGTCACAGTGCTGCCTGCGGGCAGGTCTTCTCACAGACATTGGTCCTGCCCGACAGCCAGGACGTGCCCTGCCCCCTGCAAATGGCGAGACCACCCAGGCTGGCCAGACCCTCCTCCCTGTGCTCTTGGATCTGAGTGACTTAGGGGGGGGCTCAAGCTGCATGCTTGAAGGAGACAGATGTGGTTGGATCATTGAACGGGTGTCTAAAGATACGCAGGGCCCTGGGGGCAAAAGCAGGAACACAGCCAACGGGGCAGAGACTCACCCATGGCAGCCAGAGCCGGGGTGCAGCGGGATGCAGTGGGAGGGCCCCGTGGCCAGGCGGGTCACCACGGGTTTGCATCCCAGCTGAGGGTTAGACTGTGATGTTGCCTCTGGTAGGAGGCAGTCTGTGGGCTGCAAAGTTGAGGGAAGTAGGGTGGGGCTAGTTTCTCCTGAAGAAAAAGCCTGTTTCTGTAAGGTGACTAATCTCTCCCCTCTTCTCTGTACGTACTTGGACTCATCAGAGATGGTGAACCATGTCAGTGTTTGTTGTTGCCTGTCTTGTACATGTTTGGGTTTATTGTATTTTTTACACGGGGTTGTAGATCCAGTTTGAATAGGTGAGACCAGATCACCATTCTGATACAGGAAACCTGGATTTATGCTACATATACTTTCATACTTTGATTACGTATTTTGATTCTTGACTATTGAGGAGCTTTTTGATTTGGAAAGTGGGCTCTCTCTGTCAGGAGCCCTGGGGTCCTGAAGTGGAAAGCTAGGCTGGGGGACTCGCGGCACCTGGGGAGGGTGGCCCTGTGTGACTCAAGCTCCTTTCAAGGCTGAGTGCCCACCCCTGCTGTCAGGAGCACGAGTGGGAGGTGGGCAAGGGTAGGTGGCACCGGTCGGTACTCACGGGCCTGGGAGGCCTTCCCAGCTGAAGTCCCGCGTGTTCTCCGGGCCGAGACACGGAGGCCGTGGACTCCGTCCGGCTCAGTCTGCGGTCCCGTGGCAGGGCCTGTGTCCCCTCTGTGTGCCAGGCTGCCTTCCGCAGAGGCACAGCATCGGCCGTTCTGTGCACATCTCTGCTGACAGCTCCCTGCTCCTGCTGCCTCTTACCTTGCTGTCCTCTTCTCGGACCAAAATCCTCCGGCTGGAGTGGCTTTGTCCATTCAAAGATTGCAGCCCAAGTGGATAAAGGCACTTTGCGAGAGGAGAACCAGCCAAGGAAAAAATCATAAAACCTGGAGTTTTGGCTCCTCCTAAAGCTCCTTCCCCCCTTTTCTATGCTTACACTCTCCAGGGGGCGGGGTGCTGGTCTGACTTACCTTATGAGAAAAGGCCTCTGGATGCGGAGAGCTCGGCATGGGCAGCCCTTGCAGGCCGAAGTCAGCAGCTGCCCTGGTCAGGAGAGTCACGGGCTGTGTCCTCTTCTCAGCCACTGGTCCCCCCTCCAGTCTTCCTGCACCCGCTGCCTTCTCTCCTTTCCCGGGAGCACAGACCCTCCCCGCCTGCCCACCCAGGCCTGGGGGCTGGAGGGCATCTGCGTGCACAGAAGCGCCAACACTGGAAAACGTGGGGCGAGTGGGGCCCCCTCTCTCAACAGTCCCCTCCCCGAGCAGGGCTTCAGTCTGGGGTCCCACCGTGCTGTGTCCCGGCTCCATTCATAACAGCCGGGCCAGGTAACACAGGCTGGGGTGGCTGCAGGCGACCTCGCAACAGACTGAACGGATGCAGAGTGGAGGATGAAGTGGTGGTCTGGAGCACGGAGCCTGCTGCCCGTCCCTAGGTCTAGGTGAACCCGCGGGCCTCGGGTGTGGTTCGTTTCTGCTGGAATCTGTGTTCCCAGCTCTGGTCGCACTTGGGGGCTGGGGGTGAGGGCGGACGCAGCTCCCTCTCAGGGCTGACCCGGCCTCTGGGTGGGAGGAGCAGCAGACGGAGCGCTTGCCTGAAGAGCAAGGGCCGCCTGCTCTTTGGTTCTTCAATGGAAGAACCTGTGACCGGTGTGCAAACCTGGCTGCCTCTGCATGGAGGCCCTGGCCTGCACCTGGAGCCTGACAGTGGGAGCCTGCGTGGGGCGGAGGCTCTGTGGATGAGGGTGGGGCCGGCTCCCACTCCTCCAGGTGCTGAAGTCCCACTGGGTTTGCAGGATGCGAGGAGTCGGGGCAGTTCCTGCCCTGCTGTCCTCGGCCCCCGCTTTCACAGCCCGAGCCCCTCTGGCTGTGTCTCCTACTGTCCTTTTGGAGCAGGCGGGGACCTGCGGGCAGTCTGGGCATTTACCTGGAGAGCGCATCTTCCTCCAGGAGTCCGCTCTGCCCCCTGGGGGGGTGGTGAGGAGCATGTCTCAGCTGCGGCTAATTTACGTCTGTTCCTTCCCTTGGTGAGGGGATGGTCTGAAGGCCCCCATGTGGCTGGAGCAGGAGGTGGACCGTCCAGGAGTCACGGAGGACAGGAAGCTGCAGGCCCACGGTCCGTTCCTTCCCGGTCAGAACTCTGAGGGCGCCTGCTCATCCTGCGATTCGTGCTCGGGGACACTGTCACTCACCCTGGGTCCTGCCCCGCCAGGCCTCCCGGCCGGTCGCTGCCCCTGTGGCCTGGAGAGCCGGCGGCCCCCTGGGTGGATGCGGCCTGGTCGCAGGCCGTGGGGTGATGCTGAGGGGAGGGGGGTCGCCCCTGAGCAGCGGGTTCCGGCCCTGCTCCCCAGCATCACTTCGTGCAGTGTCTGGGGGGCCGGGCTGTGCCCTCATTGCTGTTGGAGAGTGGCCCCCCACCCCCGTCTGCGCAGTTGACTCAAAGTGTACTGAGCAGTCTCTCCGCCAGGCCGGAGGTTGCCAGAGGCGGGCAGGTTCCGTCTGCCTGCCTGGTGGCTGGTTTTCTGCCACCCACTCACAGGCTGGTCTTCAGCACAGACCTTTTGTTCCCCAAGGGTGGCGGCGGGAGGGCAGGGGCAGCTGGCTGGAGGAGTGCTTCCTGCCCCGGAGCCACCGAAGAAGCCATCATCTTGGTGCTAAGAGGCCACTCCCCGTTCTGTCTGTCCGGGGGCCGCCTCCTCCGGCAAGCGAGGTACAGGCACGTGCGAGCTGTCACCAGGCGTGGCGGAAGCAGAGTCCTCACCCCGGGAAGGCGCTTCTAACAGAAAGTTGAACTTGCCTTTGGACGGTGGCTGTGCCGGGCCAGGAGGAGGGGGCTGCCCTCTGGGCTGAATCTCCCGGCCTCATGAGGTCCCCTGTGGGGATGCTGCTATTTCTAAGATGCAAATTGCACATTTCCCAGATTTTGTATCTGTGGATTTGGATAAGGGAGGGGAACAGGGCCAAACTGCTTGTACAATTTGAAATGGGCCGAAATGGTACTTTAAATCTTTTAATTGCTCCTAAATAAAAATGTAAATACATTTCTCACCTGCGGACTGTTTTGTGGGGGAATCAGGATAAAAGCCGAGAACACTGACATCTTTGGACTTCTGCGGGCAAGACCGGCAACTCGGAGGGATGAGCAGGGCAGTTTCCCTCTGGCACTCCGGGTAAGTTCCAGCTTGCTGTGTCCAGCCAGCTGGGTCACTAGATAAAGGACTGCAGCAGTCACGGACTGATGCTAAACAGGGGGAAACTAAGTCAAACCTAGAGCTGTCAGGCATCCAGTGAGGACACTTTTCCTAGGAGGAAAATACTGAGAAGCTTGTCATTTGCTAAGGAGAGATTGGCAAATATGCTTAAGGCCCCGGGGCCTTGAAGGAATAGGATTAAAACCCAACTTCTAATGTTCATAGTGATTGAATCTCATGGGGGGATCCTAAGGGTCTGTGCCAAAAGGAAAAAGGGACCCTTGAAAAAGCCCCAGGGGCAGAGAGAGAGTAAGGAGGGACACCAGGTGGACCCCAGGCCCTGGTCCTGACCTGGCTCTTCCGGAGGTGACCTATGTCTTAGGGAAGGAACTTTGTGTGGAATCTAAAAAGCAAGTCTTCGGGAGGAAGACCAGCTGAGTGTAGAACCCTGAAGCCAGTCAGCCGACCCATGGTGGCTGCAGGCCCGGCCGCTCGTGTGGACGGAGTGGACAGCAGGGGCGGCCAGGGGTCACTG